TATGCACATAGGTCTACCTCAGTTTATTTATACAACCTCATAGTAACACTCAAAAGACAACATAAGGAACTGAAATATCATACAACGTATAATTGTCATAAAACTACATGATGAATAAATATCAGTTGAATGAAAACATAAAACCCCTTTTCAAATGTTTCAAATAAAGTAGTAAACACACAACTTTGTGCTTTCATAGGTAGTTATATAAGGTATTCCTTGTAAAAAAGCAAAATGACATGTTAATTTCTTAAGTTGTAAATAAGTACTGTTAAGCGGAACATGTAGAGTCACTGTCAGTTCCAAGTTTCTTTGATCTTTCATTGTTACTACTTACTAATGGTAAGAAAACTCTCATCCATTAGCAAATTAGAAAACCACTCTTGGATTGATCACCCATTTTATTACATATTTTGTTGACAACAATCATATATCAAAAGCACTGGTCAATTAATTTCATGGAAACCGGCAATATCAGTACTAGCTTTACAGGTTGATAGACCAAAGTATTAGGAGGGATAGAGAAGGATTGGTGAAATTGTTGTTGTATTGCTTGAACCTCGTGGGCATATATATAGGAGTACAATGATCAACTTGGAGTACAAGACAAGGGAGTAACAAATTTTAATCTACCTCATTTTTCCTAATAATCAATATACTCAACACAAAGTAAAAGGAGTATGTTTATTTGCCTTGCACCATTAATTTAGCAATATCGGTAATTCCATCAGGACCAACACCATGTAGTTATCTGAATCAAAATCATCTGGATAAAACTCAGCCAGTTTCAGTAAGCTCCTCACATTATAGACAACACATAATTCTTCTCCTAATCTCAATCTTACTTTATTAGAACTTTTTATGTATTCTGGAATTCCCTTCGGATTAGTCGTAATATGACAATTAATTTAAAGCAGATTCTACCTGAATAAAAGGCTATGTGGGACTAGGAGTAGCACATCATTTGTTTGCTTGCCTATAAGGGTAGCCTTGAAGTATATACATTATTATCTTTATCTTGATATAATGACCGTCCTTTTTACAAAATGTTGTTTCATACTAGTTCAAGGTTCGACCAAAAAAGAGATCATATAATTAAGGTTGGATAAGACTTGTACAAGCGGAGCAGGATATGCTACCGCGTGCAATAATATTTTGAATAGCAATTGTCGGCTTGCCGCTGCCGGTTGCCAGCGTGAGGACGGTGAGAGATAACACAAATATTTTCTATGCCGGCTTGCCGCTGCCGTATGTCAGCGTGAGGGCGATGAAGGAGACAAGAGTATTCAGATTTATTTTCCATTCGCAGAAATAGATTTATTTGCTTCTGTCCATTGCGGCGGTGAAGCAACTCAATCTGAGGATTATGCGTCTAGCCAGCTGTGAGCTACTAAATTAATTTATTTTATTTGGGCTTGCACACTTGCACTGAATATATGGACTAAAAGGCTTTTTGTCTAATGCAGCCAGGCAGTCAATGGGTTCAACTATGATTTTTTATTGGGTTCAGGCATCAAGTACTTGTAAAGCGCTACGTTATCTGCACCCAATGCTTCTATGCTAGCTACGCCTCTGCGTGGGATTGACCGATCAGCTCGCGGGCAAGGTTGATCCTTTCCGTTCCCGTCCGTTACTGTAAGTCTGTAACCCATTGCATGTCCATCGATCGACGGTTGGCGGCTCGCTGGCGGTTGGCGCCGGGGAATCGATCGGCTTGCCGCCGTCCCCGTTGCTGATCCATTCATCCATCGGTTCCGGCCCGTCTCCCGTCCATCTGTGACCGTAACCCACTGTCATGTGACCGCGTCGCGGCACTGCTCGGGAAGGAGCATCATCCTATCTAGAGTACTATACGTGCGTGTTAGAGCAATTCCAATGCACGATCCATTTCTTTCTTCCGTGCGTGTCCGTTTGAATCAGAATAGACACAAAAATCGGTTCAACGCGTCGGCTCAAACAGACGCGTGCCCGCTTTTCGTCCGCTGGGCGACTAATCCTAGCCCAAATTTAGGCCTCATTTGCGTCGGCGCGGACGCGCGCAAGCCCGCATACTCCCCTCCTCCTCCCTGGCCCGCCAGTCGGTGGCACATAGGCGATTCTCTTCCTCCCTACGACAGCAAGCCCCCGGCCGTCCACCCCGTCGTCGTCGCCGCCCAGTTCCGGTGCCCCCACCAGTAGCCCACACCCACATACCTCCCCCGTAGCACGCCACCTTCCCACGTCGCCACCACCACCGCCTCGTCGTCGGGCCACCGCAGCTTCCCCCATACGTGGGAGCGAGCACCACCTCGGCCCCTCGCACCCCCGGCCAGCTCCTTCGACAACGGCGGCACACTCGTCTGACGTCGTCATGCTCGCCGGATACCACCAGGTCAGCTACCTGGTCCAGGGGAGGCGCGCATGTCTTCGCCGACCTGCTTCTTCGACGGCATCCGCGAGCTGTTCGATGGTTTTCTCACAAGGTATAAATAGACTCCACCGCCGAGTTCTTTTTCCACAATTTTCTTTGCGACTCGGATGATTCTCCATCCGACGATGAGGATATGGTGTCTGCTGTGTTGGTCGTCCACGACCACCTTAGTAGGAAGAAACCGTTGTTTCGGGCCTCGATCTCGAGGCACACTCCGGTGTTGAATCGCAACCGAGAGAGTGGCCATTTTCTTCTTGGGAAGGATTACTTCGAGGCACCCAACCCGCTCTTCAAACATCACCAATTCCGGCGCCGTTTCCGTATGGCTAGACACGTTTTCAACCGTATTCGAGATGGAGTGGTCGGGTACGATAAGTATTTTGAGTGCAAGGAGGATGCCCCTGGAAAGATGGGCGTCTCCTCTTATCAGAAATGCACTGCAGCTATCCGGATGCTTGCATATGGAGTTCTCAGTGATCTCATTGATGAGTACGTTCATATGAGCGAGTCAACGTGCCTAGACTCATGTACAAGTTCTGCAAGGCTGTGAGTGTAGTGTTTGCCCTGAGTACTTCAGAGAGAAAAATGCTGAAGATACAACCCGCTTGTTGGCGATGAATACCACTAGGGGCTTCCTGAAGATGCTTGGCAGTATAGACTGTGTGCACTGAACTGCCCTTCTGCTTGGCAGGGGCAGTATAGAGGCCATGTCAAGGCTTGCACTATCATACTTGAGGCCGTGGCCTCACAAGATCTCTAGATCTGTCACTCTTTCTTTGGCATGGCTGGATCTTACAATGATATCAACGTGCTTCAATGCTCTTCGATGTTTGCAAGGCTTGCCGAAGGCAACTTGCCGCCAGTGAATGTTAACATCAACGACCACAACTACAACAAAGGTTACTACCTAACTGATGGTATCTATCCTCGATGGACTACTATTGTCAAGACATACAATCTCCAACCCTGTAGGAGAGAAGAGGAGGAGATTTGCACAAGAGCAAAAGAGTGCTAGGAAGAATGTGGAGCGTGCCTTTGGTGTTCTACAATCTCGATGGGGAAACCATTCGGTATTTTGTTAGAATTTGAAGCACCAAGAAGTTGTGGGAGGTGATGACTACTTGTGTGATCATGCACAATATGATCGTAGAGGATGAGCACCCGAAACGTATCTACTATCTACGACCGAGGGTTTCAGTTTCAGGGTGACAATGTTGTGCCTGAGCAATGAGGAGCGGCAACGTTTGCATAGTTCATTCAATTTTATCATCAAATGCGTGATTGAGAAACTCACATTCAGCTGCAAGATGATTTGGTTGAGCATACGTGGGCTCACGATGACAACTTAACAGATGCATCTTTTTTAATCATGAATGCTCCCTTCTGAAATCATGAATGCGGTAGCCAAATCTTTGGTTGCCAGTGGAATTGCAAAATTGACGTGGAGATTCTAGATGAACTTCTTGATGGGAAAGGTGATGAACGTCCTGCATTTAGGAACCCCTGCGTACCTCTGGCGGAACCAAACGGAGGAATTGAATGCCGCGAGGGATATGGCATGATCATTGCCCAGGTAGGTCGGTATCCTGAAGCACAGCGGCAGTGATGAGATTCATGGGTCATTCCCCACACAGGAAGGAAGCATGCGCGAAAAAGAATGCGGATCCACACAAATCAAGTGCCATACCCAACTTGTGGTGACATTAATTTTAAGTCGCTCCAGAGAATGCTCTGACATGACAGCGCAAGCAAAACCAACCGCCAAATAAAACTATCCCCTGCCTGTCTTCTTCCCCGTGCCAAGCACACAGGGACTGCCATCGTCTACCAAGTACGAGCAGAAGATCGCTACGAAGCTGCGGACACAGAGATGAGTAAAGGTCTTGCCGTCCTGCTCCTCCTCATCTCGCTCGCTCTGAGCTCCGGTGTCGGCCTCTGCGAAGCGAGGAGCCTCAAGCACTGGAGGCAGGACAGGGGCCCCTCCTCCAGCTCCATGTTCACAAGGAAAGGGAAAGGAAAAGGGGAGAGCGGTGGCTCCCGTTCCCACAGGCAGTACGGCAGAGGGCACCAGAGTCCAGCAATGCCAACACCACCACCGAGTCCAGGTGGTGGGAACGGTCATGTGTTTCAAAAAAAGCTTAGTGTTTTTAAAAGTTGTTCATAATTTAAAAAATGTTCATGGTTTTTTTAAATCGTATTTTGCAGAAAGTGTTCCTATTTTCAAAAAATGTTTGGAATTTAAAAAAAAACGTTTCTGGTTTTCAAAAAAATATATTTAAAAAACTTTGAGTTTCAAAAATATTTTTCTTTTATAACATTTTTAAAAATAAAAAAATCAAACAAAAAACGTACTACAGTGCCCGTTCACTACAGTATGCTATGTTGCTACAGTGTCCTTGCAAAGTTCACTCCCCACCTTTGGACGAGGATGTCGTACCGTACGGAGGGTGCCGTTCGACCACTGACACGTGGGCCTCCTTAGAACTTGTCCCACATGTCAGTGGCCGGACGACAGGTGTAGTAACCTGGAAGTTTTTTTTTCTTTTTTCATAGATTTGTTTACTCGTATCATATTATCTCCTGAACCCGAACCGTTTTGACTATTGGATTTCTCTCATCGAGGTCTTTGCACCAGATCACATGTTAATAGGTTTTGATGAACTTTTTTCATAAAAGAAAAAGAAAAAAAGAAAACCAAAAGACATGCAATCTAAGAATCACATACTTAATATACAACAAATAAATATTAATCTAAAATTTTCACAAAACCCTGCACAACATGGTAAATTCAAATTACAATTCGAAAATTTGCCGCAAAAAATGATTAAGAGGGAGTGAGGATACGGGATCAAGCCATTGAGATCATAGTTGGGAGTAAAGCATGCCACTGTTGATTAAATGGATTAGTTATGTGAACCTAGAATTATGCATTCACATAATAATTAAGTAACATACATATTAATGGTGAATTCAAACTCCCTGTTAACGCTTTAACCCTATTGCAGTTTTCCATCGCTTTTCTTCACTCTCTTGTTCTTTATTTTAATTCTACGCACTTTAATTATTGTCAAAACACTCTTGCGGCATTCCCTCCTCCGCACCGCTTTTGCTTCGGACCGCATTTAACTTGCATGTCAATTCCTTTAAACTTCTACAGGAGGCAAATACCATTTCCTAAGCTCTCTGTGGGATCGGTACTCTTAATTCGAAAAGGCTACAACTCAACATTGTGCACTTGCAAAACATCAGGGATCGAACCCTTTGCCTCGTGGATTGGGGTAAAGCACACCCAACAGGATTGGGGTAAAGCACACCCAACATTGAGACAAAAATATATTTTTGTCATTATCTAAGGTTCACATACTTAATACAACATGAGAAAATGATTGAAATTTCATTTGGAAATTTTGTCGCAAAATTCTACTTCATGGACAATAAGTGAAATTTAAATTCAAGTTATGTTTGGAATTTCCGTAGCTAAAATGATTGAGCGGGAGAGAGGGTGGAGGATCAAACACCCGACCTCGTGGCTGGGAGTAAAGCATGCATGCTCATCGTTGAGATAAGACGGTTTCTGTGTTACTATTATATATGCCCACATATTTCATATATAAACCGACAAATTCAAATTATGTTTGGAAATTTTATCCGAAGGTCGTGTCATTTTCCTAGGGACCAGTGGACCTGCAAAAACGACATGGAGATCCTAATGACCTTCCTTTTTGCATTTATGATTCCTGCGTAGCATTTGTAGAACCAAACCAAGGAATTGAATGCAGCGAGGGATATGCCATGATCATTGCTCGGGTAGGTAGGTACCTGGAGAACAGCGGCAGTGAAGAGATTCACGGGTCATTTCCCACACAGCACAGGAAGCATGCATGAAAACAATGTGGATCCACACATAGTTAAGCACCATATATACCGAACCGAACTTGTGGTCACATTGTTGCAAGTTCTCCAAAGAATACCCTGACACGCACGATGACAGCAGAAGAGATTAGATTCAATCACCATGCATGCATACTCATTCTGTCTCTGCACTAAACTACTAGTGGCAAACGGGTCGATTAGGTACAAATGATTATTATTTTTAGGAACAGGCACAGGCAGCATCCAACTTTATAATAAATGAATTAATAAAGCCAACAAGGCCGATCACACATACCAAAGTCTGAAGATAAAACAGGAGTGGATACAAATTGCGACTCAAAAAACGAGCGCTAAAGTTGCAAGAGATACAGCAAAATGATGAAAAAACAAGAAAGCCCATTTGAAGATATAATTAGCAGGGTGGGGTACAAATGATTGGATGCCACCTTCCTGCCCCGTGACCGTGAGCCATTAGTACAGGTATAAGCTACATTATCGATCTAACATATTTCTTTCTGGATAATGGAGCGCAATTCCTCCACTCCAACCGATTCTCACGGAAAGAACAAAAGCAGCACATCATGAAAAAAAAGAAGCTCTGTGCAGTTGGAAGGTTGCAGTTCATCCATCCATTCATATGCCGTACTTAGCCTTTTTCTTCTATAATATATGATATGCACGCTCGTGCATATTCGAGAAAAAAAATATGCCGCCCACGCATGCACGTGACTCAGGGGGGCACCTACCAGAACCAGAACCCCTTCCATTTATCTCCATTCTCTGTCCCAGCCTCGAACAAGTATCCATGGCGTCTCCATGGAGCTGGCTATTTAAACCCCTCCACTTTCCCTCCCCAGGCTCAAAACCGCATACACAGTCTGGCTGGACACTGCCATCATCTAAGAACAGGATAAGGATACTGGTCGGTACGAAGCTGCAGACGCAGAGATGAGCAAAGGTCTCGCCGTCCTGCTGCTCGTCGTCTCGCTTGCTCTGAGCTCCGGCGTCGGCTTCTGCGACGCGAGGAGTGGCAAGCACTGGAGGCAGAACAGGGGACCCTCCACCACCATGTTCACAAGGAAAGGGAAAGGGAAGAACGGCGGCGGCTCCCCTCCCCACAGCCACAGGCAGTACGGCAAAGGGCACCAGAGTCCTGCAATGCCGGCACCACCTAGTCCAGGTGGTGGTAATGGCCACGCGTCGCCGTCTCCACCACCACCACAAGCACCGCCGTCGCCGCCACCGGAAGCGCCATCGCAGGGCATGGTGTTCAGCGTGGTTGCTTTCGGAGCACGGGGTGACGGAGTTACGGATGATACCCAGGTAACCATCAGCACTGCTCCCAAGTAAAGAACATTTGCACCTGAAAGTACATTTTTCAAGTTAGTATGCTGCAGGGACATGGTTGCCAAAATTAGTCTTTTAAAACAATAATCCCCCGTGATTGCACAATCACATTACTACTTTTTAGTAAGCTGCACATAATGTGCGTATAATGTGTAATCGGGAGCTGGAAGAATATTTCGGCCAGGACAAAAAGTGTGTATAATGCAACAACCTTGATTTGTCTTCATGTTTACATTGTTCTTTTCTCACGTGATTGGGCATATGTCTTTACTCATCATGCTGGATTCTAGTGCTGTATTTAATAACACTACCAAATTGTAGTACAAGCTTCCTATAGCAATTGCATTCTTGCAAGACATTTTATATTCGCCAGGAAAAATAATATGTGCTGGAAAGGACATAACAACTCAAGTTTTGCGGTTCCCTAAGAATATGACAATCCTCAAATTTGGTAGAGTTATTGGTTCTTTTTGTCGGTTCTCGGTTGTTTTCTTGTTTTTTTAAAGAGAATTGAGAAACTTAAACACCATATTAGATTATACTATGGGTTCTCACTGAGGAATTACCCTAATTTTTCAATCAACGCAAACTTAGAATCTTCTAGGTAAATATGCTTTTTTTTCCTTATATATTTTCTTTTAGGGCAAAAGAGTTATGTCTTGCACCCATGTACTGATCACAATAGCATAGCAGTGTTCAGTAAACAGTTAATGCAATGGACTGCACTTGAAATCTGAGCTATACAGTTGGTATCACCATGCATGCTATGATATGATGACACACTGCAGTATCCTTTCCTTTCCCGACAAAGGTTGAACTTGATTACTATCTATATATTGCAGGCTTTTGAAGCAGCATGGGCAGCAGCATGCAAGGTGGAGGCATCGACGGTTCTTGTACCACCTGAACTCGAGTTCCTTGTTGGCCCAATCTCATTTTCGGGCCCTAACTGCAAGCCTAACACTATATTCCAGGTAACATTACTCCTAATCCCAAAGCATATATACACACCAGAAATAAGTCTTCCATTACTTAAAGGAAGTCGGCAACTATGTACACTATGCACCAGAGCATTCTCGACAGACATGGTTGTTGTTTGATGCTCTTTGCACGCTTACCAAAGTATAGATAGACATTCAACTCAACCAAAATATTCTGTTTGGAGGTTGTAACTGAAACTCTGAAGCTGTACAATATGCCCTATCCAGATTCCTTGGCTACATTCCAATCGGCATGCTAGTTATGCAACAACAAACTAAATAAGCAGTGTTGGTTTTAAATGCCGTGTTTTCATTTTGTAGCTGGATGGAACCATTTCGGCTAAAATTGGCGCGAGAGCGTGGGGCTCCGGTTTGCTTCAATGGCTCGAGTTCACGAAACTAAACGGGATATCAATTCAAGGCAGTGGTGTCATAAATGGTCAGGGTAAAGAATGGTGGACCTATTCAGATTCAGATGATGATGATGATGATGATATGGACTCAGTAAGGCCTGACCATCTAACAGCTTCCTTACTTAATAAACCAATCAAAAGTAGACAAATTTTAATTGCTTACTTTGGATGCTTCCAACAGTACACTGATCAGGAGCTGGAGAAAATGCCACAGATTAAACCCACGGTAAGCATATTATTAAGTCACTATTGCAGAACTTGAATATCTTTGACGTTGCATATCAGACCAAATTAAGTAGCGAGTGGTTGCGTACTCTGCTATGCAGGCGCTAAGGTTTTATGGCAGTTCCAATGTCAGAGTAACTGGTATCAGCATCATCAACAGCCCGCAGTGCCATCTGAAGTTCGATAGCTGTCAGGGAGTCATGGTTCATAATCTGACCATCTCGTCCCCTGAGAATAGCCCCAACACGGATGGAATACACCTGCAAAACTCCAAGGATGTCAACATTCACCACACTGACCTGGCCTGCGGTAATGTTCCTCACAATTTATTTTTAATTTTTGTTTGCGATGTCACAAAACTTGATTAAGTAGGTAGCTGTTACTTTTGTGTACCACAATAACAATAATTTTATTTCAGGATGTAAATATAGAGGGCAGTAGAATAATTTGTATACAGAACCACGAGAACTTGGCATGAAATATTTACCTTGTGCAATGCAGGTGATGACTGCATCTCCATACAGACAGGCTGCAGCGACGTAAACATACATAATGTGAACTGTGGACCAGGCCATGGGATCAGCATTGGTGGCCTAGGAAGGTACAACACCAAGGCATGTGTCTCCAACATCACTGTAAGAGATGTCAACATGTTCAAAACAATGACCGGTGTCAGGATCAAGACTTGGCAGGTAACCATAATGAGACTGCAACTCAGTTCATCCAGCAAGGACCACTATGCATACATATATCCAATCACACTAGGTTATCAATGCAGGGTGGCTCAGGGCTGGTCCAGGGCATAAGGTTCTCCAACATACACATGTCAGAGGTTCAGACGCCCATCATGATAGACCAGTTCTACTGCGACAAAACATCGTGCACGAACCAAAGCTCGGCGGTGGCGGTTTCAGGCGTGCAGTATGAGAACATCCGGGGGACTTTCACGATCAAGCCCGCCCAGTTCGCGTGCAGCGACAGCTCGCCATGCTCGGAGATCACCCTGACCGGCATACAACTGAGACCCCTGATCGTGCCTCAGTACCACACATGCAGCAGCCCCTTCTGCTGGGAGGCCTTTGGGGAGCTGTACACTCCCACCATCCCTCCTATTTCATGCTTGCAGCTCGGCAAGCCAGCCGGGAACCGCGTACTGTCGGACCACGATCAGTGCTGAAACTCCATGGACGATCAGGGGAGCTCTTGTGCCTGGTGTGAATATATATACAGCTCTTGTTAGGATGTGGCTGTCATGGCATCCAACACAATTATTTTTTGGCAGGACGTATATAGGATAGTGATGTATGATGCATGTGTAGGAGATAGCTGAAACACGAGAAGAAACACATTTCAGCTAGATCTGATAATGTAGCGATATCTATATATGCAAAGGCCAGGGGCACTACCACCTTTTTAAAAGAAAAGAAGTCATATCTATATGTCTCCAAGGCTTCTTTAGACAAGTTGGTTGCTATGGAACACTACATAACTACTCCATAAGTAGTAACTTTATTGGTGATTTGAACAATTATCATGTGGTACCATCGCAAGTTCACAACTGAGTAGTCAGTTGATCACAGACCGAAATGTCTTAAAACAGATTGCAATATCTGTACTCTCAGTATCCTAGTACCATCTTTTAGGCCTCAAAGAGCCAAGCGTACGGTAAACTGGTGTGTCAGAAATGAAAGCTAAAAATTTAGTGCTCTACATTTAATTCATCACATTATAATTGGCTGTGTTGACGTGACTTGACTGCAAAACATAATGTTTTTTGTTGCTGAACTGCAAAGTGTAAACTGCGGGTGATTAAAGAGTTTTAACAGGACGGCGATTACATACCTATCAATCATCTTTCAATACGAGAGCAAAGATGGCGAAGAAGGTAATGGTTACCAACATCTTTGTTTGTATGAATCCTCATGGCCAAGTCTGCCTATTCAAGCATGAACTGCTTTACACCCTTCAGGTTAACCTGGCAGTGTGACAGCTATCAAAGCCACTCCTATCAGCTTGGCACAGCATACTTACTGGAACCTTGCAGGCCCACAACTTTAGCAGCACCTTGGGTCTGGGGAAAACACATTACTCCAGCCAATGAGAGCATGATTCCCACCGGAGAACTAATGCCCGTCAAGGACACGCCTTTCGATTTCACCACATGCCTTTAGATGCTGCCAGCAGCTTAAACCAGATGGCTGCAACTGCAATAGTTGTAGAGTGTAATAAAATGATCAGAAAAAAGAAGTCAAGTTGCAGTGGCAGGCATATAAAAATAAAGGTGTAGTGACCTTACCTCACTCAGAAAATAATGTTCCTTATTGTTCAATGGTGGCTTATATTTTGGTTGCGCATAACTGAGAAGGATTTCGTAAAAAGAAAAACAACGTGTCAAAGGTGTCTTCACATGCTTGCCAAAAAAAATGAGTTCCTTTGCTTGATGAAATAGCATGCTGAAGCAATTCTCTTGTCATTTTGCACAAAACAACGTGTCAGAGTTTATTGCAAAAGATATTAAAAGATTGTGTACAATCAAACAGAAAAAGGTAACAAAGCTGAAATATCTGGTGTTCAGGATCTGCATAACAAAAATTCAGTCCTTTGCGCACTATTACTCATTTCAGATACAAAGAAGCAGATGTATTCTACAATCAAATGACAGAATGCTGCAATATTGGAGGTTTTCTAACTTTTGTTGCCTGCTCGAAGGAATAAGCAATCTCAATAAGCGTCGGCTCTGATCCTTTCAACCCCCCCAAAGCAAATCGCAAAAGGAACGCCGTTCGAAGCATATCCAGCTGGGACGGTTATTGCTGGATAGCCGCCGATGGCAAGCAGGCTATGAGCAGACGCACCAGGTGCGACGATCACGTCCAGTTGATTGGCTCGCATTATCTTCTCAAGGCCTTCCTCGCACAGTTTGTTCAGTTTGGCAATGGCACGCTCCTCAGCAGGACCAATGCCGTTCGTTTCTTCAGATTGCAGAAGGTAACTCTGGCCAAATTCAGCCATCCTTTCCTGTAACAAATGTCTCAAGAGTGTCATATTCAAAGTTCATAATAAACCTGGAAATGAGGTGAACATTGAGTAATTACCTCGACAGGGTTTTTGTTGTTGAAGTCAATTATGTCTGATAATGATCTAACAGGTGAGGTAGCCAGTTCAGACAAGTAAGAGTTCAGGGACAGCTTGAACTCAGCTAGCATAAGAGCACGTTCGCCGCTTTGTACCGCATCATTGATGATCTTCATGCTTGGTATCTCAAGATTGTCCACCAAGATGGCCCCCATTTTCCTTTCAGTTTTTTAACAACATGAAGGAGTTAGGAACAGCTAATGTATCTTCAGAAAGAGAAACATCAACAGAAAGCAATAAGCAGATAACAAGTCATAATTCATCCCTTCCTTAATTCAAGTCGTCCTCCGATGTTGATATTGTCATCTAATCCCTCCGTTTCTAAATATAAGTCTTTGTAGAGATTGCACTATGGACTACATACAGAGCAAAATGAGTGAATCTACACTTTAAAATGCATCTATATACATCCATATGTGGTTCATAGTGAAATCTCTACAAAGACTTGTATTTAGGAACGGAGGGAGTACTATTTTGCAATTTTGAAAAATGGCATTTTGGGATGAGGACCCACATGTCTTTCTCACAACCAGTGGCATTTTCAGAACTACAAACCTTGTAGTGGCATCTGTGCCTTAGCTTGTAACTCTTGCCATCTTAGAAGCTCATACTAATAGTTTCGAGAGTATAATATGTTTCCCTGACGTAGAATAGGATTCAGAGTGTATGGAGTCTCCAAAACAACATTCTGGTGCACCACTCATTAGATGTCTGACTTATCGTAAGCGTCGGTCCATCTTAAAGAGGAGCACCATCTAAATGATCGATATCGAAGAATAACAAATATGTCATCAAACAAGAAGAGTGCTGAGCTACCTCATAGTGTCGAAATGGTCCCTGAACACCTTTTCTTGGATAGAGCCTGGGGCAAACCGGAAGAAGTCCTTCCTGAGAATCCCAACCCTCTTGCCCCTTAGATCATCTATGTTCAAGAATTGCCCATAACCGCCTTTCGGGATATACCGTGATGCCATGCGAGTTGCCTCTGCATCCCGTGCATCATAACCGACCATTGCTTCCAACACATGTACTGCATCTGAAACTGTCCTGCATATTGGCCTGCATCAAGTAAACTATATCACTAAGAAATAACTAAAACCTGCGTCATCAGATAACTCGACACATTGCAACTATCTAATCTAACTGCTGGATTACTCGACATAAGTGGATGCCATGTTTTTGAAAGAAATAAATTCAGTTAAGCAATGCACATTGTGATGCTGATCCAGACAGTAAAATCACACCACTCTCCTTAACTAGGAGTATAATGTAAGCATTTTGTCAGCTTCAGTTTTACCCAATTGTGTCCATCCTTGGAGATATGATGATCACGCCAGCCCGGCTTGTGAGGCCGACCGTGGGCTTGATTCCGACAACGGAGTTGAAGCTGGACGGGCACATGATGGAGCCATCCGTCTCCGTCCCAATCGTCACCGCCACCATGTTCGCCGCCGCGGCAATGGCGGAGCCGCTGCTCGACGCGCACGGGGTCGCTGACGGCACATACGGATTATACGGCACAATGGATTGATTCAGAGTCAGAATTCACCCCTTACTCGAGGAAATCAAGTTGCTGTTCTAGCTTCCTGGCAAGGAGAAGCAAACAAAATAAATGGAGGCGGCAAGAGGGGAAGGGGAGCATCTGCTGCTCACAATGCCCTGGCCGGCGCGGGGGCTCCAGCCGGCGGGGATGCGGGGGCCGCGGAAGTTACACCACTCGCTGAGGCTGGCGGTGCCGAGGACGACCGCGCCGGCGCGCCGGAGCCGCTCGACCACGCCGGCGTCGCGGGCGGGGCGGGACCCGACCAGCGCGAGCGACCCGGCCGTCGCGTTCAGCCTCCCGGATCCGTCGCCGGCCGCCGCGATGTTGTCCTTGATCAGCACGGGGATGCCGTGGAGCGGCGGGAGCGCCGCACCATCGAGGTCGAGGCGTGCGGCGTCGGCGCGGTCGGCGGCGGCGAGCGCGCCGTCGGCATCGATCTCGACGACGGCGTGGAGGGCCGGGTCGAGGGACGCGATGCGGCGCAGGTAGAGCTCGACGAGGCCGCGGGAGGTGAGCTCGCCGCCGGCGAACGCGCGGTGGATGGACTCGACCGTGGCCTCCTCCAGCACGAAGGCGACGGCCGTGGAGGCCGCGGCCGCCGCGAGGAGAAGCGGCAGCAGGTGGCGCAGGGGAGGCGGCATTGCCAGTGGTGTGCGTAAGGTGGCGATGTGGGAAGACTATAACCGTTGACTTTTCAATCAAATGGTATTCGAACCTCTCGCAGATCCCAGAAATCAAACAGCGGGAGGAGTTGCTACAACGCCCTGCATCGCGGAAGAACCGCAAATTATATCAACGCGGAAGATGTGTTGATTTGCATCGCTTGGAAGCGAATCTCTCTTGATGCTCCGAAGAAGAAAAGTTTGGTTGTTGATCATGCGGATGATGATAATCAGTGGCGGATTCAGGATTGGAACAAGCCCCGGGCTTAATTTTTTTTCGGGAGATAAAAACTTAACGTTCATCAAGCTATAGCTATCTCAAAAGAATAACTCAAATGTGGCTCAATTGCACCGGAAATTTATAATTTAAACTCAATGCTTAAAGATACAACAAAATATATAAAAATATTACAAAAACTATGAACAATACATGATAAAAAAAGACTACCAAATCAACGGCTTGCTTCATCAGTGTCTTTGATAACTTAATTAACAACACCAAAAATATCTCTTCATCTCTATTGTCAACATTCATATTCAAATACAATTGCTAGCACTCTCATGTATCTCTGAATCTCTCCATTACCAATTCTGCAGTGCAGCCGACAGACAAGTTCAGTAGTTTCTGGGGAGGCCGGAGCAGAGCTAGCGAGGAGAGCCGGTGAGCGGTGGAGCGGGCGAGCGGCGGGGGGACCTGGGAGGCTAGGACCGCCGAGGAGCGCTGGGACGGAGGGAAGTTTTCAGCGGTGGCGGGCAGCGGTGGCCTGGCGGCTGCGCGAGCAGTTCCTGCACGCACGCGTGTGCCTAGCTCGCTGACTCGCTAGGTCTGGGAGTGCGAAGGTGGAGGCTGCCTTGGGCCCTGGCTGTGTGTTGAGCTAAGCCCCGGGCCCATTCAAAATTATACCTAGGTTACAACTAGAAAAAAACGCCACGCCCCGGGCCTGGGGCCCAGATCCGCCCCTGATGATAATGATGGTGGTGAGGAGATAAGGAGCCCCACTCCTCACTCGACGACCAGATCATATAAGTCGGATGGAAGCAAAAAGTAAAGGGGTCGAAAGCCGGAGACAATGATCTTAAATAAGGATCTGATGTCATTGTCATTGGGAGGAAAGAGTATGCCGAAGTAAAAAAATGGTGAAGTTAAAAGAAATGGAGGAGAGGGGGGAAGCAGAGCGGCGGAAGGTGGTGGCCGAGGAGAGGTTGGGGCGGCCGAGGAGAGAAAGGTTGAACTAGAGGAGGGAAAGGTGGTGGCCGATGAACTGAAGATGGCAGCCGATGAGTTTATGTTCATGGACACAAGTGGCCTCGACCCCAAAGCAAAGGCGTGCATCAAGCTTTGTCACGATGAAATGATTATGAAAAAGCAAATGCTCGCGAGAACACATGATGGGAGGAGGAATGGGAGGTGTCATGGGTGAAATGGGAGGAGCAATGGAAGGAATAGGAGGTGTCATGGATGGAATGGGAGGTGCCTTCGGTGGTGGAATGGGATGAGGAATGGGAGGTGCCATGGACGGTGGAATGGGTGGCTACATGAACATGGTAGGGGGTGCCATGGATGGTGCCTTTGGTGGCAACATGGATGGTGGCTTCGGTGGCAATATGGGTGGCATGGGAGGTGGCTTCTGTGGCAACATTAGTGAAATGGGAGGTGGTTTCGATGGTAACATGAGTGGCATGGGAGGTGCTTCCGTTGGCAACATGAGTGGCATGAGAGGTGGCTTCGATGGCAACATGAGTGACATGGGAGGTGGCTTCAATGGCAACACGAGTGGCATTGGAGGTGCTTCCTGTGGAGGTGGTGGTGTCGTTGCATCAACGCGTGAAAACGTCGACAAAGAAGCCATTGATGATGATGGTGCCAATGTCCACAATGTGACCAGTGACAATGGGGAGAATGAAAATTGAGATGCTATGTTGGATATTAACTTTATGTGCATTTTAATTTGTTGGACCAGAACTTTGATTGATATGATGCACTTTTGTTTGTTGGATTATGAACTATGTTGCTATGGAAGTTGAGTTCATTTTAAATCTGGAAATATTGCTCATTTATACGTCTATGTAATGATTTTGATTCGAAAGAGTGCGCTTGTAGTCTGCCGCGCGGTTGTCGGCCGTTTTACATTTTCAAATATGCATCGTTTGTTGGAGCACTAGTTTTACATCATCAAATATACATTATTTATTGGAGTTAGGATTTTTTTTATGTATACATCACCTACTTTTACATCTTTAAATATACATCTTCCATTGAAGATGGGAGATGCTCTTAGTGAGGCGCTGATAATGGAACAGACCCAGTTATTTAATTGGGAATTGCCACAATCAAATAGGTTAGCATATGCAACATCCGTGTCGCTCGCTTCTCCGAAGCAGAGCAATTCACTTCTATGAAAAAGTTAATTTTAAGGCCCGCCATTTGATCAAAAGCTAGCAAGAGGTTTAGGTTTCGACGCTTATCCAGGTCGTGTTCCATAAAAAAAAATTATGCCGTCAGAATATTGCAGAGCCGAGAAGCCATCATCCACAAAGTGTAGCACTACTCATGTAATCTAATCGTCCCGCTTAACACGGTCAATCAAGATGGCCAACATGTTAGCAACAATATTGAATAACATTGGGGACATGGGTCGCCCTGGCGTAATCCCTTTTTTCATGGAAGTGATGGCCAACATTATCATTAATTTTGATGGCCACATTACCATCTATAGGGATGAGAGGTAGGCGGGGTGAATATTATTCCATCTATATGGCGCCGTCGCTGGTTCGCCTTCTTAAGCAGGATACAAACACTAAACAAACTCAAAAAAACCCTAAAGCGAAGCATGAACCCTTCCATCGACAAGGGCCGGGATCCACCGCGCTTTCATGGCCCTAAGGCCACAGCATACGAGGCAGATGATCGGCGGTGGCGGGAGTCGGGAAACTCTAGACGCGTGAGGGTCGCTGGTGTGGGGGAGGAGAAAAATGTTTCTGTAGTCTCTAGTTAAAAAATTGGTGCTATTAGTCTGATTACATACCTTGTTTTGGACTCTGATTACATACCTTGTTGGAGCTTATGATTGCTTCAAAATAAATTTGTCTTTCAGACATGCACTTCATGAAAGTCTGGAATGCATTCTAGGTAAGTTGGACAGAAAGAATCCTAGTCAGCATGTAATTGCATATAACTCTTTATACGTTTAGCATTACTGCATGGTGGTTTCATTCGTACACCTGTGAAAGATGCTCTGTGTCGATGCTCTCTGCTTCTCAGATGCTCACAGCTCCTGGATCATCGCCCTACTTACGGGACCTCGTTGAAATGGTTGCAGCTTTGGGCATGTCCCGCGGCAACCATGACACCCCATACGTATGCTTGGCGCGTAGATGCAGCCGGAGCCCTGACAGCTCCAGGTGGCGAAGAGCCGACATCGAGGTGCCAAACCTTCCCGTCGATGTGGACTCTTGGGGAAGATCAGCCTGTTATCCCTAGAGTAACTTTTATCCGTTGAGCGACGGCCCTTTCACTCGGCACCGTCGGATCACTAAGGCCGACTTTCGTCTCTGCTCGACGGGTGAGTCTTGCAGTCAAGCTCCCTTCTGCCTTTGCACTCGAGGACCAATGTCCGTCTGGCCCGAGGAAACCTTTGCACGCCTCCGTTACCTTTTGGGAGGCCTACGCCCCATAGAAACTGTCTACCTGAGACTGTCCCTTGGCCCGCGGGTCTGACACAAGGTTAGAATCCGAGCTCTTCCAGACTGGTATCTCACTGATGGCTCGGGGCCTTCTTCGCCTTCCACCTAAGCTGCGCAGGAAAGGGCACCAGCAAAACGGCCTTGCGCTACGGTTTCATCGTCCTACTCTACCGGATCACCTCTGCAAAACACTCATGGACTCATGGTATCTACTCCTACTAAACTAGCTCAGCTTTATTATTCACTGGGGCACAACTCTGTACAACGCACGCCATTTTCTCTCCTCCCACGCGGCGACTCCTCCTCCCGGCCGGGTCAGTCGTACGCGACGGGGAGGTAGGCGTCGTGGGTGCACCGCCTCCGGGAGGACACCAGCCGCGCCAGCTTCCGGTTGCAGAGCTCGAACGACGGCGGCGCGGCGGCCGGGGGCGGCGGCGCCCTCGGCCGGAGCCCCAGCTGCCGCTCCAGCTCCGCGAACTCCTCCGCGCGGCGCACCACGTGGTCGTAGCAGATGTACCTCCCGCCGGCGGTGCCGCCCATCGCCTCGTACACGCGCACGTGCGCCTCCGCCACCCGCTCCACGTCCGCCGTCGCCAGCAGGCCCTCCGCCAGCATGGTGTGCGCCCCTGATATTTTCATCGAAGGAACAACTATCTGTCAGTGCTCGATCTGAGGACAATGCTGGTTCGATGCAAACACAATGGCCAGACAGAAACACAAACCTTTGAGGTAGGCAATGGAGGGGGTGGAGTTGCGCCGGCGGAAACCCGGCCCGGTCACCAGCGCCGGGCACACCGTCACGAGCTTCAGGTCCCGGCCACGCGCCGCCCTCCATGCCGCCTTCTCTGCCATCGTCTTGCCAAGCGCAAACCACAGCTACAAGAACAAAATAATTGTTTCACACCGTTAAATATACACTGCCGGTTGATCCACGCAATGGAGAGTCTACAGGTTGAGCGGAATCTCTCATCACCTTCTTCTCACGGCAGAAGGTCTCGTCGCTCCAGCAGCTCTCATCGACGGTGGCGGGGAACCGGTGGCGGTGAGGGTAGCTCTGCCTCCACACGCAGGCCAGCAGCGACGAGGTGAAGACGCACTTCCTCACCGACTCCGTCCTCACGCACGCTTCCACCACCTGCTCTGCCGCCTTGGCTTCCAGAGTCGCCATGTGTTTCTGTTCAAATGAACATTAGAAAAGTTATTAAGCGAGCCAACTTAATTTGGAGTAAGACTCGGTCTAATCAACATTCCAAGAATCTGTCTGCAAAGCACAGGTGGTGTAATGTAAAAATAAG